ATTTCGATTCGAGCCAAAGTTCAAGCTCCTTCTTTGTGAAACACTTCACCTCGCGCACATGCTCGCAAGCCTCGACTGCAAATGGTTTGACAGTCTTCGTACCGCGCACAGCCTCTCGCGAGCGTTTGACCAAAGTCTTCGCCTTATGCCACATACACTTTTGTGAGTCAATGTTCATTCGCCGCAATATGACGTCAACCGCGCCACAATCATCATGCACAACCTCTGCGATTATGAGGTTCTTCTCGTCCTTCAACCGATGTAGCAGTTTCTCAACACACTGTATCTCCAGCTTCCATGACGACTCGTTCCCCCGGAGCATGGTCTCCGTCCCCACGATCATTCCTGACTTCAAATCCACCGCCGTCACCGTACAATGTTGAGCGTCACGAGACGAATCGTAACTCCCGTCAACCAAAACGACGACCGGATCGTTCGACCTACGCAATCGCGTGATGACCTTGTCGAAGCTCTTTTAAGTAACCCGTTCGACGTGTCGTATCCATTGTCGGGAACCTGGACCGTCATCACAAAAAAAATTATAGAAAGTTTCTTTCCCGACCTTCCTCATCCCTAAGCCCCGCAGGAGGTTATTCAATTGAGTGTAAGTCATTCCCGCAGTTAAAGTGGAGTGGAACAATTGAGTCTCAACCCTCGAATTTCTCACCCCGCCCGGTGAAACAACCTTCGCGGAACTCCAGTGCCATGTGCACCCTTTCCCGCACTCAAATTGCAACTTGCAAATGTGACATGGATAATCGATCTTCTTGATCGTCACCTCAACGTCTTTCCCATGCCAAGGACACGTTTGCTCGAACATCCCGAGAATCTGTAGAAGTTTGACCGGCTCAATGAAAACGACATCAGGTTTTGCTTTAGCATCCCACATGGCCATTTGGTCTCTCACGCTCAATTGTTCAAACATTGGACCATTATCCGAATATCCCGGCTTGTCGTCGCGCCATTTCAATGCACCACTGCGAGGTCTGCCACCTCGCGACTTTGGTATCGCCGTTGCGTCCGATCCTTGTCCGCATGAACCCCCATGGCCAGACGATTGTTCGCCCGGGCCGTACTTTGAAATCAGCTCATCAATGTGAACGGAACTCCACTCCATGAGCTGATCGAACACGTCCTCGCACGAACAATGATTTTTCTTCTTATCTTTGGAGCCTCGAGTGCGAGTCGACAACTTCTTCCCCATCGCCTTCGCAATCTCACCCAGGCGATTTTTTTGATTAAGTCTACATCGCACCCAGTGAGGCTTGCCTTCACGAGGTGTACTGGACCTCGTACGGGGCGATCGAGGCGAGAAACTCATCCCTGCCTCGCTATCATTAGCCGGGGAAAAAACATCGCGTGCACAGTTGCTAGAAACCGGAGTGCATGATGTCGGCTACACTGCTTCGATCGGTGAACGTGTCTCTTCTGTTCGACGAACAGGATCCAACGCAAAGACACCCGCAACGGGCACTGCGCCGGAGTTGTCATGGCCAGAACACGGGAACGACCGCGGCAAACCAAATGGATGCGCGGCGTCTGAACGACTTTGTTGAACACCGCACATGCTCTGACTTTCGAACCAAGGCGTCGGCAACATCGCTGCGAGAGAGCCCATGGGCGAAGAAAATGGAGGACGAGAAGAAAGCACAGCAGATTGCGCAAACGAAGACGTTGAGGGATCGCCAACAAAAGTGGGGAGAGCCGGGATTGCAGCAATGGCTGCACGCATGTGACTCAGGAGAGGAGTTTGTGTGACATTTGTCGAATTCAGCAAAGGAGGGAACGACAGAACGACCATTCTGTCATCCAAACGCTGCCTGGTTGCAGGTCTCTCCAATATACAATCCGTTCGAGTGCGTCCGCGTGGATCCAAAAGGCCTCTCCCTCGACCGCGTGAAATATCATGGTACACCGGAGAGCCTTGCAAAGAAGAAAGAGCGCATGAGGCAGATGGAGATGAAGAGAGAGGAGTAGGAAGCAACGAGGATTTTGGCGACGGCGGCAGAGCTGCAGGAGGTTGTTCGCGATCCATGTTGATGCCCCTGCTCTATGGATGCGGAAGGGCGGACGCACCTGCACACGCGAAAGCACAGTACCACGGATCACGATGTGCATCCAAACACAATATATATATATATATATATATATAGCCTCCTGATGAGTCGGTGAAACTCCGACGAAACAGTTTGTCACAGCCCCTCGTTTGTTGTCCTTTTCTCTCTCTGCCTACGGTTTACCGGGCAGTTTTGTTTGTGACGATATATATATATATATATATTTCGGCGAACCAACGCTGTTGACGACATGCATACAATCGCACCCCACATGACAAATCTGCCCCTCCATTTCTACCGCATTATCCGGGTTCATTGCAATATGAATATATACAATTTATTATTCTGCGTGACATATTATTCATTCAGATTTTTTGCAAACCTTTTTTTTTTTTATCTTTTTTTTTTTTTTTTTTTTTTTTTTTTTTTTTTTTTTTTTTTTT